AAAGCAAAAGAGTCCTTCATGCAGGAATGTCAAGAGGGTAGAAAACACTTTCAAAAGAGGTGAGCAAAATCCTCTTCCTAGTCTTCTTCCAAGAAGATCTCTTCCCTGATACCATCAAAGACAGGTGAGACTCTGGACCCTGGAACAGACACGGGGCACAGTACCAATCTCCCACCTCTGAAAAGAAAAAACTCTTGAAGACCAGCATCATCTGTACAAGTGAAGACCATACATGGTGCCAACAAAAGAAATACCACTCCTACCTCAGTGGTATTGGCACACTGCAATAAGGAATCTTCAAGATAGATAACTCTGAGTCATCTCTGCTGATATGAAAGGCCATAACCTCCACACCTCATCATGGCTAGTTAGGGAGAAATTGCAGATGAGATCATCCTCCCAAATCTGGAGTCTGCCATCCTCTCGCATCCAGTCCTCATAAGAGAGATCATAACAGCCCCAGTCCAGAGAATATGTGAAATAGTTACTTTCCAGTCCCTTTCACCAGCCATAACATCACAAGATTCATGGTAACAGTGGCACCACCCATGGAATTGGATTCAACCTTTTCCTCCTTGGGTGACTCTTACATCAGTGAGAGAGCATCGTACCTTTGCCAAGGCAGGAGGTTTGCCCAATTAATGAATTCAGAGTCTTTTGTGTTCCTTCCCATTTTTGTAAGAAAATGTCCCATTCTGGGGACCAATAGTATCCTTTGCTGTGGGGCTGATTCAAAAATTATGCAACCTCGTGACCGGCATTATTGGGGACCTTGGTACCTGTAGATGTGTTATCCTGAATTGATCCAGTCCTGGGGAGGGGGGAGGGTAGAGGAACCTGAACTCCATCAGGAACAAATAGATGAGGAGAGCAGACAGACAGTTCTGGTTAGGCTTCCCTCATGTACATTCTCCCGCTGTATCAGAGGCAGCAAGATGTGTGTGTGTGGTGGGGGGCTGCAGCTCTGCGGGAACCAGTACATGTGGGAAGCAGCTTTCAAACCAGCTTCTGGGGCACGCTGACTCCCCCGGAGCCACCTGTCCCTTCTCCCCCCATGCTGCTGCCTCTGTATCAGAGGCAACAAGGCTGTAAGGAGGGGACAGGCGGGAGTTGGTGCTTTCCCCTGCAAGCACTGGCTCCTGCCTAACCCTGGGTGTGTAAACTTGTAACCACTGAAAAATTCAGCAGTTATAAGTTTACAAAACTAAATTTTTGCTTACATCCCTAAAATCCAAACATATTACATTTCCATTGACATTCCAATGTATTAATATTCCATCACATACATACCACATTAAATTAATTTACAAGTAAAATCACAACCTTAAGTTTGGTCTTTGTAATGCTGCATAATATTATAAAAGGGGAGGCTTATTTTTCTTCCTACCAAATTTAATTTACTCATTTTTTTAATAAAAATATGTTGTACTTAACATGACCTTTTATACTTTCTGGCAACAGTGAGTATTGGATAACGGAAGCTCGTTCATCATTCTATTTTTCTTCAGTATTTCTTCATCACCAATAAAATCTCATCAGCAATACAGTGATTTTACTCTTACCTCCTTTTTTATGTAGTATATATCAGGCTGTATTGAGGCATAATTTATTATGACTTCCTTTAAGTGCCGCATTGTCATTGCTGATTGTTTGCCAAAAAAAAATCAGTATAATTCTTTTGTCTGATGATTGACTGTAATAGCCATTAACAGTTTCCCTTTCCCATAAAACAATCATTTCAGTGCTGTAATTTTGGTCTGTTCAGATGTAATTTTTCTGCAGTTTGTGCATTAGGGTGTTATGTTATTTTTCATTTTTTAATAAAAATAGACATTTTATAACAATGAAGTTGAAAAATAATTCAGTAAGTGAATAAGCAAGTGTCATATTTAAAAATATTAGAAGTTTTGTGTTATATTTCTTGAGCCTTAACTTAATTCACTAGGTTGCACATGGTTGCTGGATTCACTGTGAATTATACAGTAGCTGTTCCTGGATTAAAATGGATTGTCACACTTCGTTGCTATCTGCACATCAGTCTCTTGCCTGTGGATGGTCTTCAGATATTTGTGAGAAAAGGAATGACATCAGGATGCATTTATAGTGAAGAAGACATTTATTTATCTAAATTTGATACCTTCAGAGATATTGTATGAGGTTTAACTGCTCCAGACCCATTATTTGTTAGATTTATAACATTACAGTTTCATAATTTTTGCCATAGAAAAGCCCTGGCTGGCTGGTAGATATATCCAGAAAATGTCAACAATGATTAAATCAGTGCCTAGTGTTTTCAGTTAGTATTACTATTAATATTTACCTTTGATGCCCCATGAGCCAGATGTCTGAATACATTTGACTGGAACATTTTAAAAGTTCATTCCTCATCCACAAATAACAATGTAATATGCTTTGTGACTGCTTGTTGAAAGAGGATTTCATTTAAAAATCTGTGTTCCAGTAACCCACAAAGGGAACATTTATTGGTGTTATTTTGTTACACATAGGCTACATTAAAAATATTAGTACAAATGTAATTATTTTAGATGAATAGAAGCAGATCATAATGCAAATAAAGTTTATTAAATAGTTAATATTAATCATAGATGTGGGAAACTAGAGAATACATCAGATGCAGTGAATTCCTTTAGTTGTAATTTCTGATTTTGCTAAAAAAATTTAAAAAGCAGCTACAGGCTCAGGGGAAGCCAGAGGTGTTGTGCACCCAGTGCAAATGTTTTATGTTATGGATGCTTCGTAACAAATTTTTGGTTTGGCTTTCATCAGTGCCATTTCATCAGTAATAATTTAGAGCTCTCGTGGGCTTAACAGGGATGTGGGGGTGTTGAGCACCTGCTAACGCCAGGCCATTAATGTACATTCCATGTGCTTTAAAATGTACATTCTGTGGGCTTTTGTTTATATTTCATATGCATAAAATTGGTGGTAGTATTCAAATGCTTTTCATGATGGGGATAGTTTGATATTTTCTGTAATAGTCTGCAGAGGTGAAATTAGATTGGGGTGGTGTGGGGGGGTTTATCTCCTCAACTCTAAAATCTTTCTCTCTGGAGCAGTGGTTCTCGGGTAATTCCACCATCGGATCATACTTTTCTCAAAGCTGATGAGCTCAGACTCCTTTTTCCCATACTGCTGGAGACAGTGTGGACTTATATCACCTATTAATTAATTAGATGAAGACTAAATCTTGTACAGCTATTAGAGGTGTTATAAGGACAGGTTTTATTGAGCTGAAAAAGATAAGCTCTGTGTGCACAGTTAATCCAGGTTCAGAGAAATTGACCCAGTCTGAAACCTGAGAGTAAGCTGTGAGTTCCATGAGGAGACTGGAGCTAAAGGTGAAAAGACTGAGGACAGAGCCCATAGTCCCATCCCTTTAGCCTTTTACCTCTTCAACCTCTGCCATCACTTTCTGCCTCTATCACCTCCTCACCATTAAAGTGCTGAGGCAGCTGCTTTCTGCCACAGCCTCCTCTGAGTCCTCTCTAGTTTTTTTCTGCCCAGCGGCTTCAGACTGAGCAGAGAGCAGAGGAGGAAAACTACTCTCCCTGTCCTGTTCTCGGTTGCATCACCACTACGGAGTGGTAAGGAGTTGTCACTGCAAAGAAAACTATGCTCAGTCCCTGCAGACCTACTTGATTCATGAGAAAAAAGTGGCTGTATCTGGAGAAGCAGATCAGGATTCAAAAGCATGGAAACGCAAATGGCTTTTAAAACTTTAAATAAAAGACTGTTGGGATTTTTCCAGAGGCTGTCTCAGCCCTACAGGTTGAGAGAATTGAGAGGAGAAAACTAAGAGTAAGATACTTCCAATCATGGTTTTTATTCTGAGCTAGTTGTTTTTGTCCCTGAGGCTGAACTTCTAAGTATGGTGCTGTTTTTAAGTGTTGCATGAGTAGTATTGGAAAAGAGAAAATCCTTTGAACCAACTCTCCAAAAAGATAGAGCCGTGAATTACCTCATACTTGCTTGTCTGAGAAGGGACTAATAACCATCTGATGGCTTGGAATCATTCATCTCAAGTACATTCCTACTCTAGTTTCTATATAAAAACTGTCGCTTTCTTTCTTAGGGTACGTCTAGACTACAGGCTTTTGTCGACAGAAGTTTTGTCGACAGATACTGTTGACAAAGCTTCTGTCAACAAAGAGCGTCTAGACAACATTCAGTTCTGTCAACAAAGCAAGCTGCTTTGTCGACATGGCAGTGTAGATGCAAAGGACAGTTTAGATGCAATAACGCCTTCTGTCGACAGAACTCTGTTGACAAAAGGCGTTATTCCTTGTAAAACGAGGTTTACCAGCGTCGACAAAACTGTTGAGTTCTGTCGACGTTATGTCGACAGAACTCAGCGGTAGTGTAGACGCAGGTTTAGTTTTGTCGACAAAAGTGGACTTTTGTCGACAAAACCCTGTAGTCTAGACACACCCTTAGACTACGGCATACTGTGTATATTCAAAACTATTTGCTGCTATGACAAAATAAGATGAGTTTTTAACTATTTTTATTGAAGAGGCAGCGTAGTTATCAGAAAGGAAATTTGATTCTATTTCATCAATTCATCGTCAATAAACTATTGCTGAAAAGGTAGTACAAGTAAGCACAAAGTATGGTGACAGGGAAATTGTAAAAGTGTAACCAAGGATTGAATTCAGTTTGCAGAATCTGGTACTGGTAACTAATGATGCATCAAAAGGGGGGAAACAGTTTGATTCTCAGCTCCTGCTTGAGGTTGTATGGACGGTTGTTTAGAATGTATAAAATAAGTAAATGTTATATGGAATCATTGAGGCACAATAAACATAAATCCCCACCATTTTAGAGTCACCTTTCAGCTTAAAACTGCACTTTGATCTCCAGTACAAAACAAAAAACTGTCTAGAATTCTTTAAAGAAGAGGGGGGAAACGAAGACTTTTTCAGTGTCTTGCACATATACCCCTTAATCTGGAAACTTATGTCGTCTTCTTTCTTTTGTAGCCAATGGTCTAGAGCATGCGTATTTGCGGAATTCTGGAAAGTTGAACATGGAGAACAGAAAGGAAGATGGTGAGAGTACAGCATCTGCTCCTCCCCAGAAGCCACTGCAGTGTCACTGCAATCACCACTGTCCAGAGGACTCAGTCGACAGCACCTGCAGGTTGATGGGACAACTAGTATTTCATATATTTTGTGGGGGTGGGTTACATACACCAGTCAGCATTTTAAAACCTGGTTGCCTTAAATTAGGCATCTAAATCTGTTTAGGTACTATCAATACAATCAGTGTAAAATTAAGTAGGGGAGGGGTATGAGCACCCTAAAAATCAGACCATTTTTATTTAGATGCCTAAATATAGATTTTTTTATGCTTAACTTGATGCATTCACATTTGCAAATTTAGGCCAATACCTGTTTTAATAATTTGCATATGAAACATAGTTGAACTATGAGTAAGCCATAGTTCATGGATGGACGGAGCAAATTTCTCTTCCCCATGCATGAAGACCAGCATTAGAGGAATTGTGCTTCTCCTGAAATAGTGTATAATGCACTCCCTGTTTGGAGGACTGTGGTGGTAGTTACTAAATAATGGCACACTCTAGATTTAGGTATTCAAGTGGTTAGCCTTTCTCATAACATCATGAGGGGAAAATGCTGTTCTCAAATTGGTGTGTCAAATTTCAACTCTCTTATTCCGTCTTCTGGATGTTTGTGGGATTCTTAAGTTCTACTTTTGTAAGAAATGTAGACTATTGAAGATTTTCCAATTTAATGCTGCTCCTACAGCTTTTATGCTTTCATCAAAGTCCAGTGTGAAGTTTTGGATATGCATAATTATAGAACTGTGACATGAGTATATTACTGTGACTGGACCTTCCAATTGGGTATGTGTTCAATCTGAGAAGGTTAGAGTGAGTTTGATATTTTAACAATACGGAACTACTTTTCAAGGCAACGTGTTATAAAAGAACAGTATGAGAGAAGTCTCCGGGGTTGCTCAAGATGTTGATAGAGATTTGGTGGTGGGTTTTTTTATTATTATTAAACAGTTGCTTCTCAGTTTCACAGTATTCTGCACAGCCTGCAATTTCACGACTGTCAAATTTAAAAGTGCCAAAGCTTTGATAAAAGCCTTGGGTAGTATTTTTCTGTCCCACTTTCAGCTCCTTCTCAAAGTCCTAGTGCTCTGTCTAGAAGTAGCATTTATTTATTAGTGCATATACTGTATTTTGTTTTAAGAGTTTAAAACTCCACACTTGGCTACCAGGATGCCTGCTATATGATTCAGCCATTTCATGTTCATGTCTAAGGATAGCCACTTGCTTTTCTTTTTTATGCCAGCTTTTACAGCAGAGGTCTTATAAAGCAGTAAGTAAAAAGTTGCAGCCGAATAGAAAATTAGAAAACACAAAAGTTTTTTGGAAACACGATTCAATTGGCTGGTGTAAGCAGAACCTGCTACTAAGCTAACACCCCATTAAAGGCAGTGAGGCTTCTGAGGTTTCATCTACACTTAACACAGTACAGTGGCACCAGATGTGCCGCAGTTGCATGTCAAAGTAGGTACTTCTTAGGTCAATGGGAGGAGTAACCACAGCAGCTAGAATTTTTCCATCAACCTAATCCTGTCTATGCAGGGACTGAGGTTTGTTTAACAGTGCTGCTCAGGGTGGAAGTTTATTACACCTCTAAGCAACATAGGCCACATCTGTACTTAGCAGTGGATTGCCACTCCAGAGATTGATCTTCTGGCATTTGATACGGCGGGTTTAGTAAGGGCCCACTAAATCAAATACGACGGGTGTCCCCATTGGCAATGGTACTCCTACTACACGCCAGGAGTAAGGGAGGTCGACAGGAGTATTTCTCCTGTCAACCTCCCGCTATGGGTACGGTACTAAAGTTTGAATCAAGATATGTCGACTCCAGATCCATAATTAATGTAGCTTGAGTTGAGTATCTTAATTCGAACTTATGCCCCCTTGTATACCTGGCATTTAGTTAAACATGTTTAATTTTCTGGTGTAGACTAGGCTATGGCAAAGTCTATGCTTAATTGCTACAGCTGCAACACTCTAGTATAGACCCTCATTACAACTATGGTAGGGAGTTCACCTGTCCTTGTAGTTAATCTACCTCTTCTCTGAGAGGCAGTAGCTCAGTCAACGGAATAATCGTTTTGTCTGTTGATCTAATACTGTCTCCACCAGAGTTTAGGTCATCATGACTATGTCTCTCAGGGTGTGATATTTCACACTCCTGAGAGAGGCACAGGTATGGTCAATGGAAGTTTTCAGGGTAGACCAGCCCTGAGATGTATTTTAACAGTGCTCAGGAGCCCTGTGCACAAATCCCATAACCATCAGGATTTACGCAGAGTCTTACCATGGCACACTGAAACCATCCCTTCAGCTTTAAATCACAGACTGTAACAGTTTTCTGCTAGGTGTGTCTAAAGTTAACCACATACAAACAGTTTAAAAAAAAGTAAAATGCAAGAGAATGATGTAATAATAGTCTAAATGAGAGGGGAAATTAATGTTAAATTTATGTTGTGTTAACACGATTATCACATTGTTAAACGCCCAGTTGCAAAATCATTCTTATTGGAGTGACACATCTCTGCAGCTTTATTTCCAGTTTTAATTAAAAGGTCAGGTGGTCAGTTTAAATTGGAATTTGCCTCACAAAACCTTATTCTCCCTTCAGCCGAGCACAATCCTCTGTCCCTAAAAAAAACTTTCATTTTTTCCACACCAGTTGCCTTTTCATGGATCATCTGAATACAGTACTACCCCTTGTTAATTTCATATGCAAGAAAAATAGCTGAGTGTAGTACCTGCAAAATAGAAGTTTGTACCATATTTCTTGTCCTATATTTCTTTTTAAAAGTTATCCTATGATTTAGCAGCAATAAAGTAAAATATAATTATTTCGGAGCATAATTTAAAAGGATGCTTCTCAAGGATGATGATTTAATATTTATACAGTGCCCAACACGGTAGAATCTAGGTGCTATTATAAGCATCAGGAGAAACTGATTTTCCTTACATTTGCAGAATCCTGTTACTTTTTAATATTTTTTCTTTCTAAAATCTTCAGGACATAATTCAGAACCAAAGAAGAGAAATGTATAGGGATCCCTGTATTGAAAAGGTGCCCAGTCTCTAAAGTTGGGTTATAATAAGTAAACAATATTAGGGAGCCAAGATAGGTGAGGTAATAGCTCCTGTTAGACCAGCTTTTGTTGGTGAAAGAGAGAGGCTTTCAAGCTACATAGAGTTCTTCTACAGATCTGGGCCAAGGGATTATTCGGATAAAGGAGATAGAGCTGAGAGAGGTTGATAGGCTACCAGTCAGCTGACTGTGTTGTAACCAGTTCTCAAGAGATTTAGCCAAGCCTTCCCTGCTAAACTGGGACTCCTTTTATTTGGGGATCTTCATACCATAATACCTTTTATTTTCACCATTCACTGTAATCTGAATTACTGCTGGCACATTGCAGTGACTTAAAATAATTAGGAACTTCTCGGTAAAGAATATTTCTTCTCATCAGAGTTCAAATTAAGTTGATTTTGCTGCATTTGTATGATGTATAGGTGAAGTGTTTCTGGTAAAATCTTCTTTTCAGTGTTCAGCTGATTATCTCCACTCTGTCTCCCCTGAGGGGTCCTATCTTTTATGAAATCCATCTTAATCTCTCAGCAGCCCTATCAGCCTATTAAGCTGTTGACTGCCTTTAGATCTCATAAATTATGAGATTTCATTTTGCATAGAATTGGAGCAGTGTACTCTAGGGCACCCCTAACCCAACAATGCAAATGAAATTTTATTAGCCCAACTGGCCAGATCCCAGCAAAATTTCAGGCTTGAGATCTCTCCTGCTGGAACATTACCAAAGGCATAGGACCTTTCACGGGTCAGGGAACAGATTTTCTGAAAGTTCAGTCAGAAAGCATTTGCAGGTGTATTCAAATTAAGCACTCAGATATAAAGCACAGCCCCGTAGTAACCGCACTGAGGAACTGTATTGAATTTCTTTCTGAAAAAAGTAGTCTAATTCTTTGCCAGACAATTTTGGTCAGCTTTGACAGGTATATACTTGGGGTGGTATGACACAATTGGCTGCCAACTAGCTGTACTTTTATCCATCAGGGTGTTTGTATAAAAATGAGGACATCTTGTGGCCACTTGGAAACCACACCAGGATAGTATTGTAATTTTTGCAGGGACTACATCATATATGCATGACTGCCTTTTCAAATCAAGTGTGTATCAATCCATCAACTACTTGCTGCATTCATAACCGCTCTGTAGTAGTGTGAACAATAGGCAGTTTTATATAACATTTATTCAGCAGTATTTTAGCCCTACAGATAAGTAAAGAAGACATTTAAATATTTTCTCTTAAACGTAGCATGATTTTAACAATCAAAAAATTACGACTATTGTTTATAGCAACAATGGTTTTTATCTGCAGTCTTCCTCTCCTACTTGCCTATACTTACTATAGGTAATACCTTTAATACGGCAAACCCATGAGGTTATCCAACTACAAATATTGACTTAGTTATCTAAGGCAATTGGCAGATTTTCAAGGGTCACATTTATATTAGGTAGTTAACTAGTAATTTGGTCCTAAAAATGGTTGTTTTAAATCTAGATTTCAGAGACAGAGTAGGGTGCTTTGTTTCATGTTTGTCTTTGGACTTCAGCATGAATTCCCTAGACTCTGATAGGTTTTCAAGGCTCTGCATATTGTGTATCCTTGTTACCTTACATTATCACAAAAGATATGCAAATAGTGTCAGTCTAACTAAGGGAGCAGTGGCTCAGCACACAGGTGTTTGGCAGACTGATTGATTAACAGTGACCTTTCTCAGAAAGAGGAGGAAGTGTTTGTAAGAACTTCGTATGTCTATACTTGTAAAGATTGTTCATTCACAACCTGTTTGAAACGTTAATCCTCTCTATGCTGTGGGGTTCAAAACAGATTTGTTTTCCAATCTATAGTTCAAAAAAATTACAGCTGCTTTCAAAACACATTGGGCCTCCTTATAAAAATTGAATTGATGCATTTGACTGTGTAAAATGCATGCACAGTTACTGCAGTCATGCATTCCCATAGGGCAGTTGCATATTTTTTAAAATGGATTT